TTGCTTGTTCATCGCTTTGTTGATTTTTTTCACCTTTTCGATCATTCATTATCGTTTCTTCCTTCCGTCTATCTCTTTATGTACCTGATTTATAAAGTCTCCTTCGACTTAATCTGGGAAATGATTTTTTGACAGCTTTCTATTTATTTTAGAGGAGTTGTTCCCTTTTCCGTAATCATTAATAATAATTTCATTCGACCTGACTGTCTTATTTACAATTGTACCACTTTTGGAAACAACAGATATTATTTGTCATCAAAATGTTTTATTGCCTTTACTGGAGTCAGAGATGAAACGACTACTAATTCTTTGCACAAATTTAGATTAAGTAACCAATTCTACTGACAAAATAATGAGGTGTCTACGGGTTCACCTCTAGGACTCTTCCTATCAAGCATCATCATGGGCCATCTCGAACAGACGCGCCTGAGTGACGCTATCAATGAAACAGGATACTACAGTCGATACGTCGGTGATACTTTTGTTGTCTGTAACGACGTGAATTAGGCATCCGTTTTATTTGATCGCCTAATTTAGATCCGCCCAAACATTAAATTCACCATGGAATACGAACACAACAAGGAGTTTAATTTTCTGGACCTAAATGTAAAAATAAGAAAAGTCCATCTACAGAAAAGAAACTTGGACCGAATAATGCCTTCACTACAACAGCTTCTGGCCTATGAGTGGGGATTAGTAAGGATACTGTGCGACAGGGCCAGGAAGTTATGTTCGCTTAACAAGTTTGAAGAAGAATTAAGCTTTGTTGAAAAATGCCTTAAGGAAAACGGGTATCCAAATGGATTTATCTTAAAGTACAGCAAAGAAAGAGATGAGAAAGAGAAGTATCCAGCAGTTGAAAATAAGAATGTGTTCATTTGCCTCCCATACAAAGCAGAAACAGTATCGCAAAAGATTGTAAATAGGACGAAAGGATCAGTAAAGAGATACTTCCCTGCAGCCAATCTAGTTGCACTATACAGCACTACATGCTCTATAAGCCAATCGAAACTGGATAAGTACCCTTCTGATGTTACTTCCAACTGCATTTATAAACTTACGTGTACATTGGAAGGACAGAAAGAAGGTCTTCTATCCGGTTTTCAGAGCATATTCCGAGAAGCTTATGCTTAAATGGAAGCAGATATTTACAAAATACAATTACCACACACCTTGTGGATACCGGTCATTTTGTCGAGATTTCCAAATCCTTCAAAATATTAAACATACAAAAAAACAGTGAATCTACCTCGATTTGCTGAAGCAATCGCAATCAAACCTCTCAGACCCAACTCATGCACACAGAAAGAGTGTGTAGTCAATTTCCCATTCCCTTGGTAACCACATCACTTTCATTACACTGATTAGTCATACACACTAGTGGGCTCAGCTCAGTAAGCAGGTTTTCAAATAATGAACTTTGACCCTCTTGAAATTCCATGTTGACGTACAAGCTAACACTGCTTATTAGATTTTTCTGTCTTCTCTCACCCCCTTTTTTCTTTTTTCATACTTTGACGGTATATAAATTGATGGTAACTTAAACTATAAATTGTAATACTTATATTCCGGATGCGTTCACCTTATAATTTTTTCTCTATTACCTTTCAAACAATGAAGTATGAAATGTTATTATTTATATCCATCGTAATTTCAGGTAGTTTGCAGCTGACGAGAACCTGTGAAATAGAATGATATCATTTTATACTGCAAATATGGTCTTAAGTTCTCTATCGAAATTTATCAAGGGAACCAAATGTATGAAATTTTTGATTCATTTTTCGGCGCTTGTCTTGGTTTGTTTTCTAATTTTTGTGTGTGCTGAGTTCTTTTATTTTCTGAGTTTTTTTAGTTGTTTTCTATTTGGTCTCCTTGCTTTTATCTTGTTTCTTTAGTGTTATTTCTATACATTTTCATAGTAGTTTTTGTTTTTTCAATCCGGTTTCTCCGTTTTTTTAGTCTCTTTTATTTTCAAGTGTTGGTTTTGTAGGGATTTGGTTTGATTGTATGGAGGATTTAATCATGAGCTGACATCACTGATGCTCACTAGCGACTGGCCCTATTCAGGCAGTTAACCTGGGGTTCTAGTGGGAAGCCGTGACCAGTAGGGTACAGCAGGTTGAAGATGAGGCAGTAACTCATCGAAGAAGACATTGCGAAGTGGTCGCGCTATGTCGTGAATTAGCAGAAGTTAGAATTCAAAAACCATTGGATCGGGTCCCAGTGGCTCAATGGTCTACGAGCTCGCCTTGTAACCAGAAGGTCCTGGGTTTGAACCCCGGTGGGTGCGTACTGCAGAGGAGTCCTAAACTAGGACGAAACAGCTGTCCAGTACTCCCAGGTTTTCCAGTGGTTCTCTAACTGATGTCAGCTCATGATTAAATCCTCCATACAATCTTTCTTATTTGTTTCCTCTTTTATCTTTTGCTCGCTCCACCTTTGTTGTCGCTTTCGAGAATAGCGGCGTGATTTATTTTCCATAGTCTCTCTTGTGAACTAACGCCTGTTCCTTTTCAGCTTTAATTGCTGTGGAAATGCGTCTGTTTTTCTGGCTCATACTTCGTCATTATGACTACAGTGCTGTTATGTTTAGTTGCTTCCTGCATGAGTGCCTCAGAGGTGAACTGTGCGTCGGTGGCACAGTGGTTAGGACTCTCGACGACCATGCACATGGTCCAGGGTTCGAGCCCACACCGGCGCACACCAGATATCTATGGTCGGCCTGCGAAATTTGGGCTACCGATATCCACGCTGAAAATTTCATACTTGTACCAAAAATAGACTGTGGAATCAAGCTGTTACCAAAAATAAAAAAATAAAAAATAACTTAAATTTCAGTCTGTCACAATCGTCTTTAACTTCTTCCAACTTCATCCATTAATCTGTGTAATGTTATGTGGACGTCCAACATCTTTTCTTCTGGGTGTGCTTTATTTCTGTCAGGCTGCATAGTATAACTATAACATTCCTTCGCTGTTATATCTTACTCTCATGACGCTGGGAGTAGTGATCCCCGATATATGGTTATCTTTGATGCTGTTTATGATGTCAAGGTAGCCACTCCTTCAGTGTGTTGATTGTTGTCGTTTGTGTAACCAGAGTTGATTATTAACACTAGAGTTAAAAATTTGATGAGTCCACTTCTAATCCACGTGCTTCCACGGAAGCTTAATACTTCTTCACCACATCTCATTTCTTCTGCAATCTTAGCATGCATGTCTGTTAGCCTAAAAAGATGATGACGACATTCCATTTTGTAATGCTTAATTTCGCTTTAATCGCAAAGAGACAACTAGGATGACTAGCTGTCCGTGGGGTTTCATCAGCCAGAATCATTCGCTCTCGAATTGGTGAGTATTTGTGATTCCAGCAGTGAAGAAGTTTATTTTTCTGTGCTTTGAAGTCGTGATAAAGAGAACATTGTTTTTCTTGGGACTGGAGACCGGTTATTCAACTAGTCTAGGTTTTATATATATTTTCATTAATGTTTGTCATTATGGCTCATAAGTAATTGTGTTACCAAATGTCTCTATGATCTGCCGTTACAACAGCATACATTTAACTGACATTCAGTAGTAAGGGATAGACAACAAAGAAGTATTCGGACGCATAATCAACTCTCGAACTAGGCACTGGGACCGATCAAAACACACCACTGTTGGTATTGTGATATTGCTGGAAATCCTGTTGAAGTAAATCATCAAAGCTTAAGGGCAAGATACCGCTTCTAGACATATTTTTTATGCGCCTGGAGATGAAAGACTTTAGCAAGGCTTTTGAACAGGTTTTCTGGTAAGTTTAAGTAGCTTTGGGATTGATAACTAATTTAGAGAGTGGATTCAGGACTTTCTTAGGGCGAGAAGTCAGATAGTGAGGGTTAAGAGCATCTTATCATAATGGCAATCAGTGAACAGTGGCTTTCTTTAGAGAACAATTGCAGGTCCTTTTGTCTCTCTACTTTGTGTAAATGACAGTCAAATCATTCTGTGCATTCTTTGCCTGCAGTAGTAAGCTCTATTAGGCCTACGACAATTATAGTGACAAATTTTTTTTAAAAGAAGATCTGCATAAGCTGGTCGAATGGTGTTGCCATTGGTTTTTGAAACTTAATAAAGGCAAGTTGCTGTATTCAACCTATGGTTAGCGACTATGAGAACTTGGAGACGGTCGTAAACCATAACATCAAAACGTCAGATGACATCACAGCGGGAACTGATAACGGTTTTAGGATATTATGGCTTTCTCTAGTCTTGAAAATGATATACTTCTTGCAGCACATCCAACCTATATTAGACATCATTTGAAATATGGGATCCAGGAAGCGAGCCCATATTTCATATATGAGGCAGACACATCAGAATAGATTTATAGGATGAGAACTAAAGAAAATAAGGGATTCTCAGATATCACAAACAAGGACAGATTCTGTGGACTAGATTTATTTTTACTGTCCATTTCTTTCATCTAGAACCAACCAAATGCTGGAACATCATATTAATAATCGAAAACCAAAGTCCAGTCGCGTATGTCTGGAAGTGATTTATGAACCAGTGGAGTTTTCTACAGGAGAATGTCATACTTATTAATTCAAGGCAAAATTGAACCTCCACTGTACTGCAGAATGAGAGAATCAATATAGTTTTTAAGCTTGTTATTTTTAATATTGTTTAATAATATCGTTTTCTTTAACATGGAAAGTTAACAGAACGCCTCAGACATTTAATTTAAAAGGATTAGCGTGAAAATAAGTAATCATGTTATTATTAAAACGGAAATTTTTTTGTCTTTATGGTTTGCCTACTAGTTTTTGTGTGCATTTTTCACATGAATAAGGTGAAAGCTAAGCCAACAGTCCAGTCACAGAGAAAGCCGGTAGGGCCTAACTTATTTTAGAATAATCAGTTATGTGAATTTACAAAAACAGTTAATTGTAAGATTTTTATTGTTAACCTCATACGGTCATATAATGAGTTTATTACTTACGAGATTAGTGCTGTACCCTTAATTACACTTGAGTTTATGTATAAAATAGAAAGCACCTCACACAATTTTCAGAACGGACTTATCCTGATACAGTATGAAAGCAGTTTGCTGGTTTAGTATCTTACTTCTCTTCTACTTGGCCAGTTCTTTCAAATGCAAACATGAAGGAAAAGATGAAGGCTAGTTTCATGATTTTATTATTGAAAGTGATCATCGCTTTAAACAAATAGGATTTTGTGAAGTTTTCATTTATTAAGATAGACTATGCCTCTCCTTGTATCAGTTAGTGTGTGGTGACTGGCAGCGAAATTTGGAATTGTTTTTTCATCGTATTTATTACTTGTTAGGTAGATATATTTCCTTCATATTGTTCCAAACTTTTCCACTTCTGAATCATGAATTAGGTAACTGAGCTACTTTTTTAGCGTGTATTTCTAACTTAGTTTTAGTGTATTTTTTTGAAACTCGTCAGTAACTATTAGTATGTGAGCCCTCAGAAAAAATATTTGATATCTTCTTTAGTAGTCGGATCATACTGTTCTGCCGTTTATTTGTTTCTCATTTAAGTCGAACTTAGGGGCGTCAGTGGCGCAGTGGTTAGGACTCTCGCCGACCATGCACATGGTCCGGTGTTCGATACCCTGCCGACGCACACCTGATATCTATGGTCGGCCTGCAAAATTTGGGCTACCGATATCACATGCTGAAAATTCCATACTTGTACCAAAAATACGGCGTGGAATCAAGCTATAATCAAAAATAAATTTAAAAAATGAATCATCCGAAAGCTTTTATTTGTCGAGTTCTTTTTCACAGATGATGATGGTATCATCTACAAATATCATTATAAATAGGATTAATTACCTGTCTCACCAAGAAAATATCCTCTGTCACGAAATCCAGGGGGTAACTATAAGTTTATGAAACTGGTAATTACCTGAATATGATGTAAGATGGATATCCACTGTATATTTTGATAGTTGATTCCTAACGTTTTTAGATGGTATGTATCCCTGTTTCAGTGTTCATTTCTGTAGCTGATCTGTGTAATTCATAATTTCTAGGAGTGTAACGTTAATAAATGATATCGTACACTGTGACGTCACCGTCTTTATGTTTACTGCATTGGATTACATACAGTTTAAAAAACCGATCTGTTATTCGTGTCCTGTTAAAGTTGTACACAGTTGTTTTTCACTGTCTTATTAAGAGCTACTGAGAGTGTAATTTTCTAATTGTAGCTAGATGTACATTGTTTTCTCATATATACACATATAAGTACATAATCGTTAAAATAACTGGCTTCTGGACTTGCTCACATTAAAGCTCCCACAACAACTAAACATTATGTGATACTGAAGTATATCATACAGTTTTTATTTCAAAGTCTCGTTGAAACTTCAGTCACACTTTCTAAAGATCAGCTCTCTCTCTCTTAAAGTCAAGTTAATAAATTATAATAGATTACAGCAGATGTGTTTGTACAGTTATCGGAATCTCTCGATAAAATCATGGATATGAATGGGATAGTAAGCGACATAAATTATCAAAGTATGTAAGTCACTAGAAAATGTTAATCAACAACAAAATCTTCAAAATACAGTGAGTTATTTTCATTGACTTAAATCCGGAATAAATACAAGATAGGGCTTAAAATAAGATAACGTAACTAAATAAAAGGGAAATAGTATTTATGTTTGCACTTCATAAAAGATTGTACACACAATTAAAAGTTGTGAACAAATGTATAAAGAATCTTTCTGCAATCTCTTTTCGAATATATATATATATATATATATATATATATATATATATATATATAAAGCAGGCTTTAGTCGTGAATCAGTTTGCTATTTTTCACCTGGCTATATTTTAAGAATGATCACGTCGTTTCACGTTACTTTTTATTTTAGAGAAGTATTACATGGATGAATATAAACAAATGTAAGTGCTGCCAAATTATATATATATATATATATATATATATATATATATATATATATATATATATATAATCATATGAGTTGATTCATAAATCCAATGATAAACTCCCTAAAATGCTTAGTCTTACTGCTTTTAATTCAAAGAGAATATTGTTTTTTATTGTTATTGTTCCCTTGGGTTCCTAGTGTAACATAGGGCTTCAACTGCACGTCTCCACTTGCCTCTTTCTTCTGCTGTACTTTTCACCTGCATCCAAGTTAGTTCATACTGTTTCAACTTCTCCAACTAACACGATCTCCTTCATGTCACCCTTGCATTGACGTCCCACTCGCCGCATCCCTTTCGGCCTGGTTCCACTCAAGCAATAGTCTGACGTACACGCGATGTCACCCAGCGGCCTCCTCAGCGGGTGTCCAATCCATCTCTACTTTCTCCTGCATACTTGTTGGTTGGTGATTGGTTCTTGTTTTGATTGTTCCCATAGTTTCTTGTTGGTGATTCTTTCCGGCCCGGTCCGGCCATCTGATCTTCAGTATAGAGCGAAGACAGTTGTTAATAAAGGTCTGAAACAGGCTGTTGGAAATATTCTTTGTGACCCGCCCACCGCCAAGTTTCTGATCCGTATAGAAAAACTGACTGACTTGACGTTTGTATTGAAAATCCGACCGAATTTCGTTGTTGATGCTGGCTGAGTGACGAAGATTTCCAGATTGGTTTCAGGTTGATGATGAACGTGTTTCTCGCCTTCCCAATTCTCGATCCGACATCCTCGTCCGCTCCCACTGCCTGTAGTTGAGACAATGCTCCCTATATAAGTGAGTGAATGAAGTAACCTCTTTCAAATCCCTCCCGGTGATGGTGGTTGGCGCTGGATGTTGCTGTTGTTGTCGTTGGTGGTGGTTGGTTATTTTCATAACCTCCATCTTCTCTATGTTCATCTGGAGTCCTGTCTTTGCTGCTTCTTCGACCAGTTTGTCGGTTTTCGCTTGTAAGTCTTCGATTTTGTATGACATCAAACATGAATCATCCACGCGTGAAATCCAGGTCTTCTAGGTTCTTCACGTCGGTCCAGGATATCCCTGTCTTCTCGTTTCCTACTGTCTGACGCATAATCCAGTCGGTCCACCACAATTAGGAATATCATTGGTGATAATAAGCACCCTTGTCTGACTCCTGTGTTTACTCCAAACGCCTCGCTGAGTTTTCCGTTGTGGATCACTTGACATGTGCCGTTGTCGTACAGCTGTTGAATAAGGTTGATGAATATTTGAGGTACGCCGTAGTACTCGAGTAGTTTCCAAATTACTTCGCGGTCAACGCTGCTGTCGAAGGCCTTCTCAAAGTCTATAAAGTTGAGGTAGAGGTTTGATTGCCATTCCATGCTTTGTTCTGTGATGATGATGCGTAGAGTTGCAATTTGGTCAGTACATGATTTGCCTTTCCTGAATCCAGCTTGTTCTGGTCGGAGTTCTGTCTCCAGTGCGTCCTTTAATCTCTCCAGGATGATGCGACTCAGGATTTTACTTGGCGTCGATAGGAGCATGATTCCTCGCCAGTTCTTGCAGAGTCCTAAGTCGCCCTTCTTTGGTAGTTTCACGAGGTAACCTTTCCTCCAGTCAGTAGGCACCTTTCCCTCCTTCCAGACCTTTTGCAATAATGGAGTCAGCATGTCTGCTGTCGTCTCTGGGTCCGCTTTCAGTGCTTCAGGGGTATTCCATCTGGTCCAGCTGCTTTTTCAGCTTTCAGAAGCTTGATTGCATTCAAGACTTCAGCTTTCGTTGGAGGATTGGTGTCAACTTGCAGTTGTGTACGTGCTGTTGTTGGTATTTCTGGACGGGTTGCAGGTGATGGTCGGTTCAAGAGTCCTTTGAAGTGATCCGCCCATTGTTTAATCTGTCTTTCTTCCTTGGTAATTGGTTTCCCTTGGCTGTCTTTTATAGGTTTCGCTTGTGTTGATCTCTTCCCGGATAGAGATTTGGTTATCTGATATAGTGTCCTCAGGTCCCTTTTGCCTGCTGCCTTTTCAGCTTCAGTGGCGGGGTTGTCGTAGAATCGTCTTTTGTCCTTCCTAGCACTCTTCTTCACTTCTTTGTCCAGTGTTGTGTAAGTTGAGCTCAGCGTCTCCTTCTCTTGTCCGTCCTTGCATTGAATCATTTTCTCTTTCACCATTCTCCTCTCTTCTATTAATTTCCAAGTGTCCGTTGAGAGCCATTCCTTGTCTTGTCTCTTCTTTCTTCCTAGAACCGTTGAACACGTTTCGTTGAGAATCGCCTTCAGAGACTTCCAATGTTCTTCCACGCATGATTCTTCAGTGATGTCGCGTAGTGTTTCCTGCTTTGCTCTGACAGTTGCAGTGAAAATGTCTTTTTTGGTTGTGTCCTTCAGTTTTTGAGTGTTGAACTTGCATTGTGGCCTATCCCCAGCTATCCTCGAGGCTTTTAGTTTCACCTTGAAAGTCCCTTGTACTAGATAGTGGTCTGAACCCACATCTGCTCCTCTCCTTGACCTTGTGTCCAGTAGGCTCCGTCTCCACTTTCTTGAAATTGAGATGAAGTCTATTTGATTCTTGGTGTTTCCATCTGGTGAAATCCATGTCGTCTTGTGTATTTCCTTGTGTTTGTACACACTGCCACCAATCACCAAATCACTGAAGCCGCAGAAGTCTGAGAAGAGTTCACCATTATCGTTCATTTCACGAAGGGCCTCAAGACCCATGGTGAGTTCTCTTCCTGTATTGTCTTCTCCTGCTTCACAAAGAGAATATACTTGCAAGTAATTTTAAAATAGATACATATAATGTTTCTCGACTCTCGTTCATTTTTTACGTGGTTCTGTGTTTCCTGTTGAATAAATTAATTGATTCAAGTTTATAAGCGAATTATTTAAATTTATTAAGAGACGGTTGAAGTATGGACTGAATTTTCAAAAGTATAAGAAATTTCGTCAATGTGTATGAATTTTTCTGTTATCTCTTATTGGACAGAAGTGTCTTCCTGTTAACTTGACATTGTGTGCGTCGGTGGCACAGTGGACAGAACTCTCATGGACCATGCACATGGTCCGGTCCCTGCCGACGCACACCTGATATCTATAGTCGGCCTGCAAAATGTGGGCTACCGACATCACATGCTGAAAATTCCATACTTGTACTAAAAATACGGTGTGGAATCAAGCTGTAATAAAAAAAATGTATCGTTTCTATAGATAACAGCCGCTAACTTCATAAATGAAATACCTATGTCTTAGAAAGATGATGCACTTACCAAAATTATTGTTTTAAAATGAACAAGTTTATAGGCATTCGACTAAATTTAAGCGATATAACTTTAAACAGAATGATATTGGTGCGATTTCCTGACTGTCAGTTATCTAGCTTGGTGACCATATTGCAAACTTGACCACTAGAATTCATCTACCACCAGTAATAATAGCTAGATAAATGACATTACTAGTTTAAGCATCATTGTACAGACTGGTAATTTAAATATTATCGAATAATGCAGAGAATTCTTCGGGATCATGACAACAGGATTGAATTAGAAAGAAAGAAAACATGCAGTTATACATGGCTACTCAAAATACTACAAACAGTGCTCACCCAATGGTGCAGATAAACATACACAAACAACTACAAACAGTAATGCAAAGAACCCTAGCCGGATGCAGATATAAAGATTCTAATGGGTGATATGAGTGCTAGCCGAACAATGAGGAGAAAAATAGGAACAAATGTCATTGCTGGCACTTTCTCAGTAAAATGAACAAGAATGGAGAACAACTTAAAGACTTCTTCGCGTTAAGTGATTTTGTGATTTGAGCTAAGCATACAAGTGGCGTGGGTATTACCAGCTGGGCATTCTAAAATTCAGTTAGGGTTTATCTCAATTTAAAGAAGGTGGAGATGCAACCTACTTGACATAAAATCGAGAACAGGAGAAAGTTGAGGCTCAGGTAACCATCGAATGCGATAAACCGTCCAGATGAATTTCAAAGCCTTCAAAGAAGTTGGAGACAGATCAAGATCATTTTTCAAAGGATAGCAGGCATCAGTAAAAGGTCTGAGTCATTAAGCAAAATCACTGATGAAATGTGCATGGAAGAACACTGGGACTCCCTAAAATCAACGTGGGAGAAAACCTGTAGTGACAGACAATTCAAGCAACAAGAAGAAGCAGCAGAAGGAATGCTTGACTGCAGACTCCTCAAAGCTGATAGACGAGAGAAGAATGGTGAACTAAAAGATAAACCTGTATGGAGATGAATAACAAAAGTAGAAGATGAGTATAATATGTAGCTTAAATAACAAAGGAGTGAAGAGTAGTTATCGAAAAGACAAATTACATACTTACAATGCAATATTATCTGAAGCAGAACAGGTGTCATTTAGTAAGAAAGACATTGGAACACTAAAAAGGGAACAGGTCACCGTTCTGGAAGAGATCAGTGTAATTGTAACCAGTAAAAGGTGACGGAAGAAAGAATTAACCACAAAGATGACAGAGAGAAAGCACTGGGCTTATCCCTGTAAAAGACTTCTCAATCAACCACCACTTATGGCACATCCAGAAATACCGTAACTACCATCAGCAGACACATAGCTACCAGTGGACATCTACCCTCCAACAGTAAAGAAAGTTTTCAATTCCATAAAGTTTGGGGTCGCAGAAGAATCGACCATATCTGGAAAGACTGAAATTATACTTTGGATGTAAATCTTCGCTCAATGAATGTTGAAACCAGGAAAAAAATACCATGAGCTGACCGAATTCTTAAGTTATTCATAGTAAGTCAGCTCTCCACTTCACATTCATCGACTTTGAAAGCTTCAACCGCAAATCAAATCGAAAACTACTTTGGCAGTACGTGTGTAGTGAAGCAAACATCTCATCCCCAATGAATACCAATATGATGAATTATGATGTCAAGGGATTCACAGTACACGTAAGAGAATACAGCCTACTATCGCCGGTGATAATTCTGGCTGTGATGGAGTGGACAAC